AAGACGGTCGAAAGAGATATATGGATACACTACAGAGCTGCACATAGAGGGATGAATGACAGTGGAGTCATCAAATTCAGGAAATCTATGGTGGATTCGCTTCCTTATTTGAGGTTGAGTGCGTGTCGGCCAAGTACCCCAGCCAGTATTTCCAGAAGAGGAGGAGGCAGCTTCTCCCATGTAGAAGGTTTTGGAGCAGAGGAAGAGCTTCCAAGATCTATTTTTGCAAGTTCTTGGTCCAGAGGTTCGTGTTTTGCAAAAGTTTCCATAACTTGTATAAATGAAGGCGGATAAATATGGCCAGTAAATGCATGAAAGTTCTTTCGAGATCGATCACCATTGCCCAAAACCTCCTCGTATGCTTGATCAATGCAAGAAAAAGCTTGATTAGCCATTGGAGATGTATCAGTCTCTTTGTGTACGCAGATAGTGGAGGTTCAAAGCGTAAACAAGAATTTAATGAAGTTCAGTGCTTCATTGCTTGAAAACGGCTACACTTCCAAAATAAACAAAGTCCATGCACGTCCTAGGACGTGGGCAAAATGCACTGATCCACTAATATCACCAAGCATTGGGTATATTAGTGCGGGGGGTAATGTTGGCTATATATTTTGTATAAGCCAATTGTAACTTACCAAGTGGATCATAAAGGGCAATTTGGGGAGTTAATACAAGTCTCCAGTCAACGATATACATGTGGCAATTCATATTGGTAACAATGGATCTGTGCAGCATTGGAGCAATTAGAAGACGCAAGATGACGTGGCCCAACGGTTACTCACAATACAAATTCAAATTCAAAATCAAAAAGGAAGCCTAATTGTAAGAATGGCATAGTAGAAGCTAACTGTGCAAGGCCATGACTAGAGATCATGGAAGGGCATTTCGACGGTTAGAAAACCACTTCGACGGCTACCATTAAAGGGTATAAATAGAAAAGAAGGCTAAACAGAGGAAACCCAAACTCAGATCCAGAAAACCAGTTATTACTTTATATTTTTCCAGTTTTTACATTCTAGTTCTTCAATTCTTGTACTGCACTTTAATTCTTAAGAGTAGTTCCAAGTAGTCTATTGTTGTAAAAACCTTCAAGGCTGTGAGAGTGCAAATGTATCATTATAGTTCATATCGTTTAATGAAATTCAGTTCATAAAACTGTGTTATCTATTATCATCTTCAATATCTTTAATTTTCTCCTAAGCGAAAGCCACCAGTGAAAGTCCTCTTTATTGAGGCTGAAAGAATTTCAACACAATCGTCTGATAATTGGTTGGTAATTAAAATTTCTATAAAGACTTATTGATCTTTACTGGCACGCTTAAAATTACATTATTAACTTTTGAAAGCCAAAAAAGCCAACAAAAACACATTCTTATTTTCATGACCGGGTGATCAAAAGAAAGCGCTCAAGTCTTAGGGCCTGTCAAAACGAGGTGTCTACACCCACTGCGAGGCTTATTTCAATAATTCAAACCTTTCATTTTGTCAGACACTTCATATATTTCATCGACAAAAAAATTAGGTTGATCCGATAATTGTAACTTGTTTAATTTACTACATTTTTCACCCAAAAAAATTAAAAAATGGATGACAATTGTGCTTTTTAAAATAAATCATATATTTTTTTTATGACATACGCAATAAATTAAACAAATTACAATTATAGGATTGACTTGATTTTATTTTTATTTTTTTTGTAAATGAAATACATGAAAGATTCGATAAAATGAATGGTTCAAATCATTAAAATAGGACTCGTGATGGGACTACGGGTCCAAACAGCGCCCTCCAATCTTGATTTTGAATCAAAGAGATCCTCCTCCAAATTTCTAACCCAGGAAATGAATAAAAAGCACGCATGTTTTGGTTGAGGAACTTGAGGTATCATATATTTTTTTTAGTGTCTTTTATCCTCTAAATTGTTATTACTAGGGACCTTAAAAAAAATTCCCCAATAATTTTATTTATTTATTGGAGAATTTTAATTCAGTGATATCTATATAAAAATAATTACAAACTAGTGACAAATTTTATAAATATTAGAGAAAATTGATAAAAAGTCCAATTTAATAATTGTCTAAGACATTAGGTTCAATGAATATTTTTTGTTGGTAGGAGGTCCATTCTTTGTAAAATAATTTTGTGCTAAATCCTTTTATATCTTAGAGAACATTTTGTTTATAATTTTATCCCTTATCTATTTATTAAATTTTTAATTATTTGTGAAATTTTTCTTAACTATCTGTTCAAATATTTTTTTTATTTGTTCAAAAAAAATTTCTTATTTGTTAAAATTTTATCATCTATTCAATTTTTTTTCCTTTATCTGTTGAAATTTTATTATCTACTAATTTTCTCCTATTTATTTTGGAGGAAAAAACATTCCAAATTAGAACACCACATCTATGAGATGACCTAAGCAATGTATTTTACCATGGCAAAAATTAGTTTGATAGAAAAATAAAAAAAATTTAATCACTTTTTTTTTTTTTTAAAAAAAGGGGTTTTTTTTTAGGGTCACTGATATTAAAATTTTATAGTATAAAGGACATTTAATATTTTCATAATGTCTAAGGTCCCTCAACATTGAACCAGAGAAATTTCAGTCCAGAGAAATTCCAGCCCAGAGAAATTTCAGCCCGGAGAAAATTCAGTCCAGAGAATTTCTCTCCAGAGAAAACTTGATCCAGAGAAATTCTCTGGATTCCAGTCTAGAGATTTTCTCTGGATTTTCAGAGAATTTCTCTGATTTTCGCAAAAATTTCTCTGGATTTAAAAAAATAAAAAAGGCCTGAGATTTTGTGCTTGAGAGTCAAACAAAGTGGGTTGTTGGTGGTAGAAGAGAGGTGGTGGTGGTTGTGGAGGAGGCGGTTGTGGGTAGTTGGAGATGGAGCCAAAACTGTGGTTCAAGAAAGAAAAGATTGACTCGGTCCATGAATCATACTCTTCATCTCCACCACTTGAAGATTGCATATTTACACTGTTTCCAGAATCCATTTGCTACCAAAAAAGTGATATAAAAGATGATATATTAAATAAATAAATAAAGGGGCCACACCTGCTGAGAGATGGTTGTAGTTCCAAAAAAAGAAAAGAATCTGAGAGAGAGTACAGAGAAAATTCACACAGTGATCACAACCAGAGAAATTTCATACAACCAGAGAAAATTCATATAACTAGAGAAATTTCATACAGCCAGAGAAAATTCACAAAGTGATCATAGGCAAAGAAAATTTATACAGCCAGAGAAAATTCACAAAGTTACAAACAGTGATCACAACTAGAGAAAATTCATAGTCCAGAGAAAATTTAATTTGATTTGCTCACAGTATATCTATATTTGTATATATGAACATATCTCAATCTCTCCTCCATTTCTTTTCAATTCCACATTTTCTTTTCTTCTAGAAAATTTCCCTACAAAGATGTGTGGTTTGATTGATCTCAATGCTGTCGATGATGACGACGACTCTCTTCCTCCTCTTCCTCTGCTGCCACATCCAGAGAAAATTCACAAAATTACATGTAGAGAATTTCTCTGGGTTCAAACCAGAGAAAATTAAAATTTCTCTGAGTTTGAAGACAATCAGCAGAATCATAAATTGAATCATAGTATATAGTAAAAAGAATTAATTGGCATATCCACTATGAGAAAGTTATATGATTCTATTATAGCATATGTAGCTAGGCTTTCATGGATTGTATGAAATGGAGCTAATGTTTTTCTTGAACTGAAGAAGGTCCAATGATGGGTTTTCAAGAACAACTATAAATAAATAAAAATTTTATTAACCAGAAACAATGATAGATTATCAAAATTGACTGTCAAGTCTGCACAAATCCAGTCCTATTTAGTAACAATTAATCTAATTTGCTTTAAATTCAAACCTCACCAGATTTATTTATTTTTAAAATTAAACTTGATTCATGCATCCTACAGGAAAGTTAAAGAGTGGAAGATGAATATGCATGTTTCTATACACGTTTCAAGTTACATTTCTAGAACAATTGTAGAGTTCTCCATTCATGTATGAATTAAATATCTAGTACTGGAGATGTGTAAGCATTATAAAATCAGACACAAATTTCTTTGAGAGAGCACATAGAAATCCAGAGAAAATTAAAATTTCTCTGGTTTTGGACTAAGGATACAACAAGCTTGTAAATATAGTAGTAGGACAGTAAATGAACTTGTGTTTGAATGCATAGTTGAGTTCTGCCACGTGGCCAAACCAAACAAACCAGGTAAAGAAAATAGTGAAAAAATGATATATTAGTAGGACAGTAAATGAACTTGTGTTTGAATGCATAGTTGAGTACTGCCATGTGGCCAGACCAAACAAACCAGGTGAAGAAAATAGTGAAAAAATGAACTAAAATAATATATATTTCTGAAATTTCTTGGAGAGTAATTCATATTTGTGTTTAACAACTTGGGCAGGATGACCCAAATTCGCAGTCAACGCACTCACAACAAGGCATCCAAGCTCAATAGCATCCTGGAGATCGACATTGTCGATCCCAACACCAGCCCTTCCCACCATCTTCAATCGCCCATTCGCAGCCTCAAAAACCTGCCTCGTCACTTTTGTCCCACTCCTCACGATCAACGCATCGAACTGCGAGATCTTTGCGCACAAATCTTCAGGAGAGAGATCATAGAGACACTCAACGTTGCCGAAGCTTCGAAGGAGCTCGAGACCAGCCTCTTCGAAGAGATCAGACGTTCCATGCTTTTCAATCCAACTCCACCGCCATTGAAGCTATATATATATATATATATATATATTTTATATAAACACCAACCAACAGAAGGCACCTTCCCCGTAGAAACGTCACTAGGAAGGTTTTTTTTTTTTGTTTTTTTTTTTAAGCAGAGCTAGAAAGTTCGAAGACCAAAGTCAAAGCAAAAAAAATTGCGAAAATGTCCAGATAATAGTAGAAGCCTCCAGAAGCTCAACTTATCTTCCGTTCGGCCCTCCCCTATCATTTGATGGGGTGCGAGGGCAAAGAAGGTCCTAGAACACATTCCCATCTATATATACCCTTGTACTTGTCTCCCTCTGCAATCAGATTTCGTAATTCCAAAGCTAAAATTCCTGCAGCGAATCACTTCTCAAATCCTAGCACGCGCTCTTTCTCTCTCTAAATTCTCTCTGATTGTAAGACTGATTCATCATCAATGGCGGACGTTCAGATGGCCGATGCTGAGACCTTCGCTTTCCAGGCCGAAATCAACCAGCTTCTGAGCCTCATCATCAACACTTTCTACAGCAACAAGGAGATTTTCCTTCGTGAACTCGTCAGCAACTCCTCTGATGTAACTAACTAGTCTTTTCTATCTCTATGTCTCTTTATCTTGTCTAACGTGTATGTTCTTGGATTGGAATCGGACTTAAATTTCTAACTTTTTTTTGATTTGATTGTGGTGGGTAGGCATTGGATAAGATCCGATTTGAGAGCTTGACGGACAAGAGCAAACTTGATGCTCAACCGGAGCTCTTCATTAGGATTGTCCCCGACAAGACCAACAAAACGCTTTCCATCATCGACAGCGGTATCGGAATGACCAAAGCAGGTTACTACTCTCTCCCTCTTCCAAAACCAATTCAGTCCTCAATTCGTATGGCAGCAAATCAATTTGCTTTTTGTTTCTTAGGGGATTAATGTTAATATGTGTTTTTCAGATTTGGTTAACAATCTGGGTACAATTGCGAGGTCTGGGACTAAGGAATTTATGGAGGCATTGCAAGCAGGAGCCGATGTGAGCATGATTGGGCAATTCGGTGTTGGTTTCTACTCGGCTTATCTTGTTGCAGATAAGGTTATAGTCACAACTAAGCACAACGATGATGAGCAGTACATTTGGGAATCACAGGCTGGTGGCTCATTCACCGTCACTAGGGACGTCAATGGAGAGCAACTGGGCAGAGGAACCAAAATCACTCTCTTCCTCAAGGACGATCAGGTAAGACTCCTATTCAATTATGTTTGATTGATAGTTGAGATGCTTAAATCAGTATAAGACTTTACGGAACAATGAGAATGTCTACTTGTATTTTTCTTTTTTTCTTTTTTCTTTTTTTCTCTCCCACCAATTGAAGGGGTATCAGCGGTGGCTCTGCTGTTTGGCAATAGAACACCCTGAATTTCTTTTCAAATGTTCAACAAGTTCACCCAATTTTGAACACCCATTCACTCCTACTTTGAACACCTAGCAATGAGCAAAAATAAATAAATAAATCATGTAGCAGCAGCGGCAGTTCAGTCCACTGATTTTGATTTTGTTTTTTTTAATGTATGGCATAAGATATATATTAATTAGCTCACTTCTCATAGTTTTAACATTGAAGTTCGTACATTTTGAATGCTCATCCTGCGAAAAATGATACGTCCTCTCTGTGGAAAAAGTGCTAATATGTGTAATGCATGATATAAATTTAAAGTTGGGTGGTGTGGACTACAATCAAAATGTATCTAGTTTATACTTTTCTTCATATGTAGCAGTAGTGTACCCTTATATAAATACCAAAACAGTTACCCTTATAGTAGCTGAAATATAGCTCTTTCAATAAATGTTGTTGTTGAATTAAAGCACTGATTTTGAAATATATATATATATATATATATAAGATTTAAGACTAGGTATGAGTCGTATGACTTGTCAAAAACAATTATAAAACTCTACGTACTTTATTTGTTTTGGATTGAAAAAACCAAAGTAGTATTTGTGATTTGAGAAATTTAGATTAAAAGATTTATGGAAAGTGGATGACAGACAGAATTTTTTAATACAAACTTTAATTTGAATTTTTGGATGTCTACAATTAATTCAAATTTCTGGAGCCGCTACATAGTGGAATCTGCAGCAATTTTATTTAGATTGTGTTATATATGCATCATAATTGTTGTAGTTCAGTATGCTAATTTGAAATTTTATTGATTTATTATTTGCAGTTGGAGTACTTGGAAGAGAGAAGAATCAAAGATCTTGTGAAGAAGCACTCTGAGTTCATCAGCTACCCAATTTACCTGTGGACTGAGAAAACAACAGAGAAGGAGATCAGTGACGACGAAGATGATGAGCCCAAGAAGGAAGAAGAGGGCGATATTGAAGAGGTTGACGAGGAGAAAGAGAAAGAGAAGTCAAAGAAGAAGAAGGTGAAGGAGGTCACTCATGAGTGGCAGCTCATCAACAAGCAGAAACCCATTTGGTTGCGCAAGCCCGAGGAGATAACCAAGGAGGAATACGCCTCTTTCTACAAGAGCTTGACAAATGATTGGGAAGATCACCTTGCAGTCAAGCACTTCTCTGTTGAGGGACAGCTTGAATTTAAAGCTATTCTGTTTGTGCCAAAGAGAGCTCCATTTGATCTATTTGACACCCGCAAGAAGATGAACAATATCAAGCTCTATGTCCGGAGAGTGTTCATCATGGACAACTGTGAAGAGCTCATCCCGGAGTACCTTGGATTTGTTAAGGGTGTTGTTGACTCTGATGACTTGCCACTCAACATCTCTCGTGAGATGCTGCAACAGAACAAGATTCTCAAGGTGATCAGGAAGAACCTTGTGAAGAAATGCATTGAGATGTTCAATGAGATTGCAGAGAACAAGGAGGACTACAACAAATTCTATGAAGCTTTCTCCAAGAATTTGAAGTTGGGTATCCATGAGGACAGCCAGAACAGGGCGAAATTGGCTGATTTGCTCAGATATCACTCAACAAAGAGCGGCGACGAGCTGACTAGCCTGAAGGATTATGTCACGAGAATGAAGGAGGGCCAAAAGGACATCTACTATATTACTGGCGAGAGCAAGAAAGCTGTTGAGAACTCACCATTTTTGGAGCGGCTCAAGAAAAAGGGCTATGAAGTGCTCTTCATGATTGACGCCATTGATGAGTATGCTGTTGGGCAATTGAAGGAATATGATGGGAAGAAGCTTGTTTCTGCTACTAAGGAAGGTTTGAAGCTAGATGATGAGAGTGAGGAGGAGAAGAAAAAAAGGGAGGAAAAGAAGAAATCCTTTGAGAACCTTTGCAAGACCATCAAGGACATTCTTGGAGACAAGATTGAGAAGGTGGTTGTCTCTGATAGGATTGTGGATTCTCCCTGCTGTTTGGTGACTGGAGAGTATGGTTGGACTGCAAACATGGAGAGGATCATGAAAGCTCAGGCACTGAGGGACAGCAGCATGAGCTCTTACATGTCAAGCAAGAAGACCATGGAGATCAATCCTGACAATGGAATTATGGAGGAGTTGAGGAAGAGAGCTGAGGCTGACAAGAACGACAAGTCGGTGAAAGATCTTGTGATGCTGCTGTTTGAGACGGCGCTCTTGACTTCTGGGTTCAGTCTTGATGATCCAAATACATTTGCTGCGAGGATTCACAGGATGTTGAAATTGGGCCTGAGCATCGAGGAGGATGAGGAAGCAGGTGAGGATGCCGACATGCCAGCTCTGGAAGAGGAGGCTAACGAGGAGAGCAAAATGGAAGAAGTGGATTGAGTACATAGAATATTACATTTGTAATGGGCGTGTGTTGTGGATAACCTGTGTTTTATCGTCTTAGGCAAGTGATGGTGTAGAGGTTTTTGTGAGGTCGTGTCTGGGAGTGAGTACTCCCCTTGTTTGTCCAGTCTTTTGTCTTTTCACTTTTGGTTTTTGAGTCTTACCTGTGGTCGTGGACCTATTTCAGTGCATTACCACCTATTTTCTTAACAATCAAGTGTAGTCATTGTTCTCTCTCTCTCTCTCTCATAGCAATCATGTATATCCAATTTAAAGTCAGTTACACCACTAGGTAAACTGTATGAGAGCTATAAAATAAGCAGTCGCCAGGGATTAGGTGTGTTGTCAGGTTAATTGGGGGGATGAGATGAGTAGTAGCACGGTGACAAATCAAAACTTGCCTTCTCATGCCATGAAGAACATACTTGAAACAATGTCATGGAGAAATTTTCTAGGAAACAATAGAATGAACAAAATTGTAAGTTACATTATGAACATTTTGAATAGAAAATGAAACATTATTCAACAAGAGGATTCAATATTTGAACTGCTAATTTCAAGAGGAAAAAAAAAAAAAAGCCTAATTATATTTGGAAAAATAAACACGTTCAGGAAAAGCTTGAACTAGGTTGTGCTGCACCATGGTCCCCAGCTCCACGCCCAAAGCCAACCTTCCACCGGAGCCCTGCAAGATCTAAGAACAATACCAAAGTGAATACTAAGAAAGAAATTAAAAAAATAGTTGTCATGCATGCTTAATGACATATTAAAGAACTTTGCGGGAAGCTGCTGTATAATTTACAGCCCCTAAACCTCAGACCAATTTCGTAGAAAGTACACAGGAAAACCAATGTTCAACAATGCAGCAAAAGTGAGATATCAATAATGAAATAGTCTGTGCAAAAGTATAACACTCTAGAACCTTGCTTTGTGTCTAGACACCTCCAGCAGGACATATCAAAATCTTGCATTTAAAGAAAGCCACTGGAAGCAACCAAAACATTAGGCCAAACCAATTATGAACCCACCTCCTATGTTACAGAGACTCGTCAATTTTGGCGAAGTATCCTTTTGGCGAAGTATCCATGTCGACACAACACGGGTATGGATACAAAATCCAGCTAGAACACGGCATGGAAGAAGTGGATATGGCACATGAAAGTAAGAAAAAATATAGCATACCTACGATTAGGGCTACGAAAAGATCTTACGATTAGGGCTTCGATCTTCTTCTCTCGATCTGTCTTCTGTCTCTTCTCACTCTCACTCTCGATTGTTCTCTTCGTCTCTCTCTTCTCTCACTCTTGATCATCCTCATTTCTCTCCTCTCTATTTCGATCTATTTCGTCTTTCCCTTCGCTTTGTTTTCTTCTCTCACTTTTGATCCGTCTTCTCTTCTCTCTTTTCTTCTCTCTCTCTTCTTTTTAATTAGTGTTTATCATATATAATATAATTCATCATAAATAATATAATGAGAGCAACTTCTTTTGTCTGCCAAGAAAAGGTGTAACTGGCTCTTGAGAGTTGTTACCAAGTTAATAAACTTTCACCTTTTCATCCACTAGTCAAAAGTCAAAACAGCTAGCATCCACCTACTAATTATATAATAACTAGTGTTTCGCCTGTGCTATGCACGGATTGTGTTTATAATTATTTGTATATATGTAAATTGTGAGTTTTAATTTTTAATTTTTTGATTTTTTTTTTTTTTTTTTTTTTTTTTTTTTTTTTTTACATATAGAAAAAGAAAAATAACAAATGTAGCATATTTTCAATCAACTATTTTATGTTTATTTTTATTCAACATTTAAAAATAATGTACGGGCAAAATTTATAACTAAATTAAGAAAAAATTTATTCCTAACGATATTTTTTTACTTCTATATAAATACTTAAAAAAATAAATTTGAAAAAGGTAGTCAATATAAATATTATACATTAAGTAAAAAAATGTGGTTAGCAATTATACTTACATAAATTTACTATAGTTTTAGTTTCAGTTTTTTTTTTTTTTAAAAAAAAAACTATTTTAAAAGCATTTTATTTAGCTAGTACCTGTACGGGGAGCAAATATTCCGGCGTGCCCGTATTCCTTTCTTCCGAGCTCCGTCGATGACCGATCACCTGCGAGCAAGTTTTATAACTAAATTAAGAAAAATTTATTCCTAACGATATTTTTTTACTTCTATATAAATATTTAAAAAAATAAATTTGAAAAAGGTAGTCAATATAAATATTATACATTAAGTAAAAAAAATGTGGTTAGCAATTATACTTACATAAATTCACTATAGTTTTAGTTTCAATTTTTTTTTTAAAAAAAAAAAAAAAACTATTTTAAAAGCATTTTATTTAGCTAGTACCAAATAGAATTTTCTTAGTAAAAAGGAAATTTGTAAAATTTTGTTGCAAGTTTTCAAATATCTATTGTTAAATTCTATTCTATTCTACTTGTTTGCTTGCTTGCTTGCTTGCTTTGGGGGTTTTGATATTTAATCTTTACTCCACATTCATCGTGTTGTTTTATTTATTTTTCTTCTTACTTGATTTTCGCATAATACTTCTTTCATAGTGCATTTCTGAGTGTATTGGTGAAAATACCATACACTTAAAATGTACAAAATTACAATATGTAAAAAAAAATAAGTAATTGCCCAAAACTAAAACTACTTTTAAGAAAAAATAAAAAATAAATAAAATTGTTTGAAATAGAAAATAATTCATTTATTTATTAATTAATTTTTAAAAATAAACTTTTAAGAAAACAACGAAAACTATATATATATAAAGACAGAAACTAAACATAAAATATAATACAAAAAATAAATTAATTATAGGATTTTTAAGAAGTGAGACTCACAAATAAATTTTATAAAATTTTGTCTATTCATATACTTTCGTGTATATTTTTTTGTACTTCTAATCTTGAGAATGACATTGAAATAATTTGTACTTCTTACATTAAGTCCATCTAATAGCTTTAATAAGCACAAATATAATAAATTTCATAACACAAAACACAAATAATTGTGAGATAAAATATGTAAAAAAAATGAAAACACCGTTCAATGATAATGTAGAAGCACACATGAAGTTTTAATTGAAGGTATAACCAAATAAATCTCTATAGAAGATGAAGACAATCTTTATTTTTCATCACAAAAATTAAATAACTCAATATATAATTTTAATGTATCTCACTCTTCCACACGTCCAATTCTCTATCAATATTAGAATGAATGCATGAACTAAAAAGAGAACATTTGATAAGACAAAGAGATGTGGTTTGAGACATTTCAATTGCTAAATTCTATTAATTAGTAGTTATTAGGCTTCAACGATTGGGCTTTTAATATTTGTTAGCTGTATGGGAAAGAAATAAACCTTATCGTATGATCCTATTGATCAAGTTTGCGCTTCTCCAAATAATGTTGCTTTGCCACCTGAAAATACAAACGTGAGCTAACCGGCGGGTGTGAGCCGGAAACCCCTCCGATGTCTAAGTCAGTAACTTGACAATAGACAATAAGCTCTGTGCATTCTAGAGTAAGAATTGGGATACCTGTCCATAGGTATGGTCATGAGCTTTTATAGACTTTATTTTGGCACAATCCTAGTAGGATTCCAACTCTCCCAATGAGAGTCCTCCTAGGAATCACACACCCTACTCACTACCAACTAAGTGAGATGGTTTTGCACAATCCTAGTAGGACTATACTCTCCTTAGCAGAGTCCTCCTACGAGTCATACTCCTACTCACCACCAACCAAGTGAGATGGTTTACACAATCCCAGTAGGACTCTAACTCTCCTTAGCAGAGTCCTACTAGGAGTCTCATCACTGCAAGCCAAGTGAGATGGCTGAACCTTTTACCTCGGTTATACATTCCTGCCCGAACTGATTTATCTCGGTCCCCTACCCTTCGGACCGTGTGATCGAAAGCCGATCTAACGGATGCCACCCTGCCGAGCTATACACAGCTCGGCCCTCGCTATTGATGCTACCTCATTTTAATAAGCTGCTGCAACCACACCGAGCTAAGTTACCTCGGTCACACGCTTAAGTAATGATGTAGATGGCGCCCAGCCGAGTTACACCAAGACCGGCGGCCGAGCTATACCAAGCCCGACATCCTTTCTCACCAATACCTCGGCTAACCACCAGGCCCACTTATTTCGGCTGACATCTTTACCTCGGCTAGTATTGCGGTCAGCCAAGTTACTTCGGCTTTGTGATACTTTAAGCACTACTATCAGTCTTGACTTCGAGATGACGCCTTGTAGAGCTATCGTTTTGACAAAAAAAGCTTTGGGTGACCCACCACCAACCAGGGAAGGGGGTTCGAAAATTCCACGACTTTTGAGAAATCACAATACTGTATTTATTATTATTATTATTTTTAGAATCTTAATTTATTTAGCTTTTATTGTTTATTGGACAAACTACTAAATTGAAATTCTTAAACAACATAATAATTATTTATTTGGTAGTATATATATATCAATGGGTATAAACAACAGAATAATTATTTTTTTGCCGACAGTAGGAGTATTTCGGTGCTTCTCTGTGGGCTGCATCACCGGAGTTTTGGGTTATTTCGTTGTTATTTTATTCGAGTTTTATACAGCGTATGATATAAGTAAAATTGTTACAATTTTTTAAAAAGAATAATATATTTTTTTATTTTTTCAATATTTTTGTTGAAAAATATTACAGACTTTATAAATTTTAATATGATATGTATGAATCACAACTGTATTTTGATCACAACATTATTTACACCGTGCCTTCAGGCACAGGCATACACTAGTTTAAAAATAATGTACGTGTAAAATTTATAACTAAATTATTTTTTTTTTATTCCTAACAATATTTTTTTACTTCTATATAAAAACTTTAAAAAAATAAACCTAAAAAAAGGAAGTTAATATAAATATTATACATTAAGTAAAAAAATGTGATTAGCAATTATACTTACATAAATTTACTATAGTTTAAATTTCAAATTAAAAAAAAAATAAAGCATTTTATTTAGTTAGCACCAAATAGAATGGTCTTAGCAAAAAAGAAAGTTATAAAATTTTGTTACAAATTTTCAAATATCTATTGTTAAACATTCTATTCTATTCTAATTGTTTGTTTGTTTGCTTGCTTGCTTGCTTGCTTGCTTGGGGAGTTTTGATCTTTGATCTTTGCTCCATATTCATCGTATTGTTTTGTTTATTTTTCTTATTCTTACTTGATTTTCGCATGATACTTTTTTCATAGTGCATTTCTAAGTGTATTAGTGAAAACATCATACACTTAAAATGTACAAAATTACAATATATATAAAAAAAAAAGTAAAATAAGTAATTACCCAAAACTAAAACTACCTTAAGGAAAAATAAAAACAAAAACAAAAATAAAATTGTTTGAAATAGAAAATGATTTATTTATTTATTTATTAATTTTTAAAAATAAACTTTTAAAGAAAACAAAGAAAACTATATATAAAAAAAGGACATAAACTAAATATAAAATATAATACAAAAAATTAAAGAATTATAAGATTTTCAAGAAGTGAGACTCACAAACAAATTTTATAAAATTTTGTCTATACATATACTTTTTGTATATATTTTTTGTATTTCTAATCCTGAGAATGATATTGAAATAATTTGCATTTATTGCATTAAGTCCATCTAATAGCTTTAGCAATAACAGATATAATAAATTTCATAACACAAAACACAAATAATTGTGAGATAAAATATGTAAAAAAAAATGAAAACACCGTTCAATGATAATGTAGAAGCACACATGAAGTTTTAATTGAAGGTATAACCAAATAAATCTCTATAGAAGACGAATACAATCTTTATTTTTCATCACAAAAATTAAATAACTCAATATATAATTTTAATGTATCTCATTCTTCCACACGTCCAATTCTCTATCAATATTAGAATGAATGCATGAACTAAAAAGAGAACATTTGAGAAGACAAAGAGATGTGGTTTGAGACATTTCAATTGCTGAATTCTATTAATTAGTAGTTATTAGGCTTCAATGATTGGGCTTTTAATATTTGTTAGCCATTAAAGCTGAATTTTTTGGTTTCATCTATATTCACTTAATAATTTGAGAGTGGACACGTGTCAAGCCTTTACACAAATACTTAGCACATTTTTTGAGCATTATTAATGAAATGCATAGTGTAATTTTTTTTTCCCCTCAATTGCAACCTGTTATTTTTTAATAAGAATTTATATTTGTTTTAGATATTTTTTTAGCATACAAATTATTTTATTAGATTTTTTTATAAAAATAATTAGCAATCCTATCACTAACCATAATGTATGGGAAAAGTAGAAAATGGTGCAATAGTATGAGAAAAATCAAAAGACTTGTGGGTTGAGAGAAGTCAATAAATGATGGGATTTTTTTTTTAATAAAAAAATTAGAAAACTAAGATTGGGATATTAGAGCTCCCACAAGATTTGTAAGTTAGAAACATCATTTTCCTTATATAATATATAAATAAGTATAATTAAATCATATATAATAAATAAATAAAAAAAGAAATCTAACAAAATCTACAAATAG